GCAGAAAATAAATACCAAGATTCTTTGCTTTACAGCAACAGGTTTGTGTCACAGACACATTTTATGAAAAATCCTTTTGTTAGGATCTTTTCTCCTGAGAAGCTGAGAGGCCTCCGAAACTAAATGTAAGCAATAATTATCTGCTGCTGTGCATCTTTGATTGGACTCATGTGGTTGTTTCTAATTAATGGCAATCACAGTCCAGCTGTCTCAGAGTCTCTGGTCACTCACAAGATTTTATTATCATTCCTTTCCTTTCCTTGCTAGCCTTCTGATGAAATCCTTTCTTCTATTCTTTTAGTATAGTTTTAATATATCATTTTTTAAAATATAATATATATAATAAAATAATAAATCAGCCTTCTGAAGCATGGAGTCAGATTCTTGTCTCTTCCCTTGTCCTGGGACCCCTAGGAACACTGCCACAGGTTTGCATCACCTACATAACTGCAGGACAAACAATGTTCTATGAGCAGCAAACCCACAAAGGCTGGTTTTGATATCAACCAACTCATGTGGCCCCCAATTTTTTTTGCCAAGCCCCAGCTTCTCTGTCTCCACAGTAACTCTAGTCCCTGTCCTGCCTTGTCCTTGAAGCCTTCTGACACAATCTCCAGTTGTGATCCTGAGCCATGCACATCCTCACTGGGCTCCTGGCAGGCCAAATGGAGCAGGTAACTCCTTGGCTGGAGCTGTAGCCTTCCTTGAGGGAAAGGGGGCACTAGTCTGTCCACATCTCTCTAATCTTGACACTGACTTCCACAAAACTTGCAGAAACTGACTCTGCTTTTGGAGACCTGTCAGGCTTGCTTGGTAGTGACTAGTGGGATGAAAGATATTTGGAAGAGGCAGGTCTGATTTATAGCAGCTGTGTAAGCCAAGCTAAAATAAGAAGGAGGAAATTTAAATAAAGGAAACTTAAATTTAAAAAACTTTAATTGCAGATTGCGTTTTTGACAGCTCATGCAGTTCATCATGAGCAATCAAATAACAGAAGTTCAGGTACAGAAATATCATGCTAATAAACTTAGAAGAAATGACATAATTTCTGTATGAAAAGGCAAGAATTCTGTAAGATAATTAAAGAATGCTGGTAGGAGACAAGATAAAGACAACTGCTTTCCTTTCCATTCTCTTCCCCTTCCATGCATGCCACAGGTGTCCTCAGTGGATCAAGTTCAGTCCATTTCCCAAATCACCATTTTTAGACCCACTGAAAATCAAAATAATACCTTTTCCAAGTTTAGCCATGCTGCAGGCAGCTGAGGGAGAGTCACACCCCCTGGGAGCAATTCAGATGTTCTGCCTCTGTAAAGTGGGGATTGCCAAGGACTGCCCCTTGGCAGGTCTGCAGTTCTTATTCACAACTTTGGAAACAGGAGCACACATGAGTTTGGGCTTGCAGGGATGGAGAAGAAAAACTTCAGAATGAGGGCTGCAGATCGTCACTCACTTTTTCCACTTACCTGAACAAAATAGCTGAGTTAGGGGCTGCCTCTGAAACCTTCCAGAAAGACTGACACCCACTCCTGGGCTATTTCAGAGAGAACTTCTCCCAGCTCAATACACACTTCCATTTCAGAGGCCTCACTTCAGCTACAGTACTCAAGCCAGAAACAAGGACACTTTCCAATATCAAAGAAGACTTTTTTCATGTACCAACTAAAAGCAAACACACACTTTTACTTGATCAAGTTTACCTGGTCTGGTGTAAAGTGACCCTGCATATGGCAGGGAGATTGCAAATAGATGATCTTAAAAGTCCTCTCCAACCTGAATTGTTCTGTGATTCTATGAAATGTGCAAGCACCAAACTGACTTGGAAACAGTAATTTCAAAGCAGCAGGAAGAAGCTATGTGATAGCACCAGCACATATCATGTCTACAGGTATTTTTAGAACAGAAGAAAGAAGATAGCTAAAGTAGATAAAAATACAGGAACTTCCACAAAGTCTTACTATGACTGTGGAGCCTTCCACTTCCTTTCAAGATTTAAGATACCTGAGTGCAAATTTTTAAATCAGTTTTTTTTAACTGACTCTCCATATCCTCAGCACTGTTAAAAGTATTATTAAACAAAGCAGTAGGTATATCAACATCACTTAACTACTACAGTAGGTTTGCTCTCTACTGGTTTTGAACCTGAAAGAGAAACTTACATATTATTTGAAACTACATAAGATTCAAAATTTCCTTTGTTCACGCCTAAAGTAATTTTTACCACTTTACCACTTCACAAAGACCTTGCTGTTCACAACATGATGTGTCAGCCCCATCTATTTGCTCACACACCTACATAACTCCCAGGGAAGGAGCAAAACAATGGAGTGTGTCCATAAGGGTGCTGTCTTTGAATGACCAGCTGCTCCATGAGAGCTGATGTCAGAGCAGCTTCTTGTTGAAGAAATGGGACTGGAGCCCACCTGAGCAGAGCCCCCAGGGCCACACTGCTGTAGCCCCCCAGCACAGCTTAAGCAACTATTCCTCTGAGCTCCAGTGCCAGAAATAGCTCACACAGATGAGATAAATTTTCAGGGAAATATAAAAAAGCAGCACATAACACATGTTAGGGAGCAGCATGAGATGATGTACTCTGCTTTGACAGTGTAAGAACTAGACAGATGCTAAAGGAGAAATAACACTCTCTATGTGCATTTCTGTACCTGTTTCCTCACATCCACAGAGCCTTCCCTGCACCACTCCAAGATCCCACAGATGACAGGTCCTCTCTGTGCTTCAGAGCAGCTCCTGGTGACCATAGCTGTTCTTCACTGTCACCCATCCCCAGCAAGAGCATTTGCTTCTCTTCTAACCCCCACACTTCCTGTGCATCTTTTTTTTCTTCCCCAGCCAAGATTTCTATCTTACTGGTTAGCACCAACTCCTAATTTTCATATTTTATTTCATTTTTTTGTTCTGCATTTCATGAAGTTTCAAACTCAGTTTCTCTACTGAGACATTTAAACTGAAAGAGGGCAGATTCAGACTAGATATAAGGAAGAAACATTTTATGATGAGGGTGGTGAGGCATGGGAACAGGTTGCCCAGAGAAGTTGTGGATGCTCCATTGCTGGAAACATTCAAGCTCAGGCTGGATGGGGACTTTGAGCAACCTGGTCTAGTGGAAAGTATCCCTGCCCTTGGCAGAGGGGTTAGAACTTGATGATCTTTGGAGGTCATTTCCAACTCAAACCATTGTATGATTGTATGATTTTTAAATTTATCTTGTTCTCTCTGAATTACTGCAGTTTCCTACCTTGATGTGTCACACTGAATGGAAACCACTGATCTCTGGTGAGTTATTATAACACCTGGTCAAAGAGGGAAACGTGCCACATAGGAAAACTCATGGCTCCACCATTCAGCAGTTTCTAAATGTTATCAAAATTTCACTCAAACATCTTTTGTTGTACACAGACAGACCAACAAGCTGATGAATACATATGCTGTCATTTCCATACTAATTTCAAAGAGGATTTTAAACCAACAGATGTAATGAGTGGAATGGTAGTACTCATTACAAGCCACAGGTTTCTGAGAACTGTAGGTACAAAAGCTTGATTGCATTCTGCCATGGAAGGTATTTGCACACCCAGAAGTTTTCTTTAGGGAAGTTGAATGTGATAATAACCCTCACTAGAGAGAACTGTTGGATCCAAAGAAACTATTATCACGTGGATTAGTTTCCTCATTATGTGATCTAATGGAAAGATGAACAAGGATTTTGCTTTCCCCAAGATGTTGGTTACCAAAATACGAAAAAGTAGCAGTCCTACAAATGCAGTTGTGTTAAAAAAAACCCCAATCAACCAACAAACTAACCAAAAAAAAAACCAAAAAACCCACAACAAAACAAAAACAAAAAACCCAAACCAACCCAGAATAAATTTATGTTTTACAGCAGGCACAAATATCTGCCTTCTGCAGCACACACACTCAATGGCACCAGAGAAGAATTGGCTCCCAAAAGATGACACAGCATGAGGTAAAAAGCTGACCTAACTAATAACTGGAAGAAATCACTGAAATCAAACAGTTTTACATCAAAGTGCAGCTACTGCAAATAATTCAAGAGAGGGCACATGGATCCATTTTCCTCAAACAGTTTGCTTGTGACCAGCTGCCACCTTTGTGGCCTTCTCCTCACTCTAACCCTGACACAAGTCTTCCTTCTCCATGGAAGCAAACACAGGTGATTCTTCCTTGTGTCCCATGAATATCTGCTCCAAGAAGTATTGGCCAACACCTGAAAAATCAGGCATTTTAATGGTTCACATTATTTGGGTTCCAGTAGTGAAAGCTGACATGTTTCAGCAGTGTCCTAGTGGATAATTCCCTAATCTGTGTGACACCAAAACTGCCTGGGAGATGCAGGATTCATAGAAAACCTCCTGACACACCATCTCCCATCCCTGCAAAGTCCTGAGGGAGCGCTTTCACCGCAAGGCTGCAGCAGCCGAGGGGGCTCTCAGGGCAGCCGATCTCTGTAGGAGCCCTGGCAGAGACATCATGGAACCACACAGTGTGCTGAGCTGGGAAGGACCCACAGGGATCATGGAGCAAACCCAGACCCTGCACATCCCCAAGGGACACACTGTGTCCAAAAGCTCCTGGAGCTCTGTCAGGCTTGGTGCTGAGGCACTTCCCCGGGGAGCTGTTCCAGTGCCCAGCCACACTCTGGGTGAAGAAGCTTCTCCCTATATCCAACCTAAACCTGCCCTGACTCAGCTCCAGGCCATTCCCTCGGGCCACATTCCACGGACAATCTTGCACTTCGAAACTGTGACGAAGCCCCTCACCACAAATGTCTCTCTCTCTCCACAGTACGGACCTTAGAGAAAAGTCCCAGCACATGTTTATTTAGGGCGTGTGGAGGCAGCAGGGGGATGTCCCGGGCGGCCGCCGCGCTCCCGGAACGCCGCGCTCGGGGCGCTGTTTCCGGGAGGGAGGGAGGGAAGGTAGGGGGCGGGTTTGGGCGCTGCACCGGCGGGCGGCCCGCGGTGCCTCGGCGGCTCCGGCATCCAGGGCGGCGCGGGAGGGAGACCGGGAAGGAGGGAGGATGAACCTGGAGCGGCTCAGGAAGCGAGTGCGCCAGTACATCGACCAGGTGAGCGCCCGGAGGGGCTGCTGGGGAACGGGCGGCAGAGCCACGGGTTCTCCTCGAGTTAAAACCGCGCTCGGCGTGGCTCCCGCAGAGAGGGAGGCCGGGGAGCGGTGCCGGCCTCTGCAGCGACGGAGAGGGCGTGAATTCGTGATGGTGCCCGTGAATTTGTAATGGTGAATTTGTTGTGATGGTGCCCGTGAATTTGTGATGGTGCCCGTGAATTTGTAAGGGTGAATTTGTGATGGTGCCCGTGAATCTGTAATGGTGAATTTGTGATGGTGCCCGTGAATTTGTGATGGTGAATTTGTGATGGTGCCCGTGAATCTGTAATGGTGAATTTGTGATGGTGCCCGTGAATCTGTAATGGTGAATTTGTGATGGTGAATTTGTGATGGTGCCCGTGAATCTGTAATGGTGAATTTGTGGTGGTGCCCCGTTCTCCCGAAGGGGAAGGAGCGGCGGTCACACCGGGGTGCGGCGGGCCGGAAGAGCCGCCTGTGGGTGTCCAGCGGGAGCCGGGGCCTCCCGGTGGGTGTTCCTGGTTTCCCCCTGGTGTGGAGAAGGAGGAGGGGAGCCGCCGTGCGGCCGCTGTGTAGCGAAGGCGTGTTGGCAGGATCCCGCCCTCGGGTTGTGCAAGCTGGGCCGTGCCTGCCTAAGGCAGGGGGAAATGGCCTCTATCGCACCCGGGCGGGCTCAGGTTAGGTTGGACATCAGAAGAAAAAAATCTCTTCGCTGAAGCGGTGATTAGGCTTGGAACCGACTTCCCAGGGCAGTGGTGCAGTCACCCTTCTTGCAAGTGGACGTGGCTCTCAGTGATATGGGTTGGTGACCATGGTGAGCTCTGGCAAAGCTCGGGCTTGATTGTCTTGGATGGCTTTTCCAGCCTTAATGATTCTGTGATCGTTACAAGGGGAATGGATTCAAACTAAGAGGAGTTAGGTTTAGATTAGATATTAGGAAGAAATTCCTTACTGTGAGGATGGAACTTGAAACAGGATGCCCAGAGAAGCTGTGGATGCCCCATCCTTGGCAGTGTCCAAGGCCTGGTTGGATGAGGCTTTGAGCAGCCTGGTCTAGTTAATTTAAACCTGGAAGGTGTATCTGCCCCTGGCAGGTCAGAACTAGACAGTCTTTAAGGTCTCTTCTGAGCCAGACCATTCTGTGATTCCCTGGCTGGTGATGAAGCTGCCCATCACGCTCCTGCAGTGCTGCAGACGCCTCGTAGGAGGGCAGGGTTGTTTTCATTTGTTGATGGATTCAGCAATTATGTTACTGCAGGGCAAAAAAAGAAAAAAAAGACACACGACGAAAAATGCATAAATAAATTAGGTTAAATGTAGCATCAAACTGTTCTGCTCTTCTTCCAGTTCAGACTTGATGCAGGCATCACTGCTGAGGAAAGCACACCCCTTAAATCAGCAGAGGCATTTCTCTGTGTGGCCAGCAAGTCTGACTGAAAGGCTGGTTAGGGACCTAGGCTAATTTGGTGGGTTTGATTGGTTTGGTTTGCTGCTCTCATTTGTGTTAAACTGTTTCACCAAGCTGTTTTGCCACACACTCTTGCACTTCTGTGGAAGGGGCATCAGGAGGAGCATAAAATTGCTTTTTTGTGTAATAATGTGTCATCCTATAGTACTGTAAAAGTGCTGAACAGAAGTCATGCAGTGCCTTGTGGGCCTGGATTATACCTTTCTTTTGTGGTGTTGAGGTAATAATTTAAATCTCTTTTCTTGTAGACAGCTACTAAATGTGTGTGGGGTTGCTTTGTGGGTTTTTGTGGATTTTTTCCTCCTTGGGAGTGCAGATTGAAACCAAACTATTCTCATGACAAATTTGGTGGGTATTATTAATCCCATCAAGTAGGAAATGTAGGAACACATGATAGAAGACACCACTTCGGTGGTGTAGTGCTTTGTGAGGACTGGGACAGCATCAGTGTGTGCCTGTCAGAGCAACTGCCAGAGCTGCCCTCCCAAAGCACACACCAGTCCCTGAGGTTCTGAACAAACTGCAATGGTGCAGGAGGGGAGAGAAGCCATCAAGGCTTGCTCAGTCTTCAGAGAGCCACAGACTGGTTTGGGTTGAAAGGGACCATAAAGAACATCTGGTTCCAGCCCCCTTCCAGGGCAGGGACACCTTCCACTGGAACAGGCTGCTCAGAGCCTCATCCAGCCTGGCCTTGGACGCTTCCAGGGATGGGGCACCCACAGTTAATCTGAGCAATCTGTTCCAGTGCCTCAGCACTCGCAGCAAAGAACTTCCTCCTAACAGCTAAACCTACTTTCTTTTTCAGTTTGAATCCATTCCTCCTTGTCCTCTTGCTGCATGCTCTTGTAAAGTCTTACAAATCCTTGCAATGGCAGGGTATTTGTTAATTGTCCAGCATACCCTGGGAATCATATTAGGCTTCCTTGCATGGACTGGGATAAAAAGGAGCAGCAAGAATGCCTGGTGATCTTCTCAGGAGATAACCCCAGCCAGTTCTGTGAGATTTTTGCCTGGCACCCCAAATCTGGTGGCAACTTTAGCAGGGTCAGTGGGATATATCTGCAAATTCTGCTTCTGTCTGATCTCTGGTTGCCACCACTCCTACCTATTTCACTCATTTCTGCCAAAGTGGAGTCTCAAGAGTGAAAATGTGTATCCAAGCAAAAGGGGAAATGCATGCAGGCACTATGGATTTATGTGAAGTTGAAGTGTCTTGACTGGAGAATGAACATTTCTTCATCAGAGCTGGTGCTGCTGAAGTTACCTGAAGTAATTTTGGTGCCCTTTTTTATATACAGTATTGTCTTTTTTCTAAAATGTGGCATTTTTTAAACTGGAAATGGGGATTCTTGCTACTTTTCCAGTGATGGCAATTCAACTAATGACCTGTTGCCATACTTACACAGCACATAACTTCTGGTCAAAGATACCTGCAGTATTGGCCCTTTTGAACTATTTTTTTATGTTACAAAGATCTGAAATGTGAATCACCATTCATTGAGACTACATGCACAAGATATTACCTCTGACTGATGTACAATGTATTTCAACATCATTCAGGAAAGCCAACCCCAAAGGAATACTAATTATTTCTATCATGCTTTTACAGCAACAGTATCAAAGTGCCCTGTTCTGGGCCGACAAAGTAGCTTCACTCTCTCATGGTAAGTGGTCACTTTTTACATTGTATTTTATTAACTACTTTCTGATAGGGTTGTGTTTTGGTGGGGTTTTAGTACTGTATGGCCAAACATTGACATTTTGAGTTTGGTTTAAGTGCATTTTTGTGATCTTTGGAATGCCATTTTCCTAAATAGAGCAGAGCTCATCTTCCTTGGCTTTTGAACTTTGTGTTAAAATTCATGTTTGAACAAACCTTAAGGTTTGCTTTCCTTAAGAAACAAAAAAAACAAGAGCAACAAGAGAGCACGGTGGTTTCCCCCAGGACTCAGGGTTGCCCAGGTGATGAGTACAAAGTGTGTTTACACTGAGAGGGAGTTGATGCTGCCCATGGCCTCTGGCACTCACACTTCTTAAAGTGATCCCAGGGACTTGATCCCACAAAGGCTTTGGTTGCCAGTGAGGTAGGAGGGCAGTAAGCTGTGCTTCTGAAGTTGCAGCTCCAAGCTATGGAAGTCTAGTGCTTTCACTCTTGTTAGGTTCCCACTGATCTTTTTATTGAGAGAGACATTTATGGGTTGTTTTTTTCTGCCCTATATCCAAGAGCAGGGTAGCCTGCAACTACTGTTTTTTTAATCTGTATCACTGTGGTCTCCTTCTCATGACACACCTCTATTGTGACATTCTTTGTATTCACTGTCCAGTGCAACATCTGAGGTCTTTAAAGTTAAAATCTGATTATCTTTTTAATTTTAATCTCTCACTGATTGACACTGTAAGTACTTTATACACATTTATAAATAAAATTTTGTAACTCAGTCAGATGCTAGAGTATGAGGAAGATACTTCTCTAGTGAAGCAAAAGTGAACATTCTGTATTAAAATATGCTTGATAATGTTTGAAGCTATGTTGTAAAGCAATGGTTTATAATCTGTTCTTTTACTTTAGAGGAACCACAGGATATCTACTGGCTGGCCCAATGCCTTTACCTGACAGCTCAGTACCACAGGGCAGCGCACGCCCTTCGATCGCGGAAGCTGGATAAGGTGAGTCCTTTTGGTCAAAGACAGCCTACTGTTACCCCTCTTTTAAGGCTCTGCTGCTAACCACAGTGACTTCTTCACCATCACAGTAAGAAAAGTAATTAAGAAAGCTGCATTATTTAGTTTATAAGGCCCTGTGTTCAGTCAGTCAGGTTTATAGCATTGTCCCCAAACAGGGCCACGGAACAGAGAAGGGGTCTGAGGATGTAACTGCAGCAGGTATGGGAAGGTGGATTGTCACTTCACATGTAGTTCTTTCAATTTTCCTTCTGTTCTGATGACAAGTGGTAAAGACAAGAGTCAAGTAAGTTCCTTTGAGAATTTACTAGTAGAGAAAGGATCACAGGCTTGGTAAGGAAGGACTTTTGGTGGTGAAAGGGGTGAAGAAGCCATAGCACTGGAAAAGGAGAGAGCAAAAGGGACTTGAGCAGTGTAAACAAACATGTTCACTCTTTATAACTGATATGTATGAAACTTTTCTTTCAGTTGTATGAGGCATGTCGCTACCTTGCAGCCAGATGTCACGTGAGTACACATTTTAACCCCTACTGGAAACAAGCTAAACTAAATAAAAGACATCTTGGGAAGATTAGGCACCTGACAGGCAGTGTATGTGTATATATATATATATATATATGTTCATTGGAACAACAGGTTTAAATTTTCTGACAGTTGATTTCATTCTTTAACTTTCAGTTGGGTCACTGCAGCATCCATTGTGGCACTAATTGGAAGGAATCCAACTGACCTTTTTCCCAGGAAATACTCCTCTAATATTTTGTGGGAAAAGAATGTGAACCATTTTTGTCTCATGTCTTCATGCTTATACTTTTATTTGCTTGGTTGTAATCTGACCAGAGGAGATGTGATTTATGGTGGTGTAACTATAGTTAGCAGCTTTGTACTTCTGTATAAGATCTCATACATAAAAGGTAAAATGCAGTGCTTTCAGAGACACAACCGAATCAATTGGTAGATTAAATACACAGAAATTTGAAATAGAATAATGTGCTGCTTATAGAATAAGATGATGGTATTTTATTAAAACCTGTGTTAACTATTTTTAAAACCTTACCTGTTTCTCTGACTGCATAATTCTGAATAATACATTTTTCTGTACATGCTTTATTTTATAATTTTCGCGTATTTTTTGCATAGTATAGATGACCAGTGAAAGAGCTAACTGCAATTATAAAATGACAAATGGCCACATAAGAAAATACATGCATGAAAAACCTGCTGATAAACACTAGTTGTTATAACCTATGCCTTTGAAACATGATGCTGTGTTTATTAGTGCTTTATGTACAAATTCTTCAAAACCTTGTTTTTTACATTCACATGTTTGATTAGTATGCTGCAAAAGAGCATCAACAGGCCTTGGATATTCTTGATATGGAGGAGCCAATCAACAAACGACTTTTTGAAAAGTACTTGAAGGATGAAAGTGGGTTGAAAGATTCTACCACAGACTGGGAGATGTCACAGTCCTCAGTAAGTGACATTATTTTTAAAAACATTTTTGTAGGAAAAAAACCTGTGAAGTCAGAAAGTGATTTCACAGCTATATGAATCTGATAGTGCATTGAAGCTTTCTTTTTCAGCTAACATAATTTTCAGAAATGCTGAATCATTCTTCTTTCAGTCACACATTGTGTGTTAGCTTGCCTGTATGGAAGTAACCCAGTATGCAAAAATAAACAGTGCTTTTCAACAACTTCTTATAAGTTATTTGCAGACGCTTTGCAGGAACTTCATGATCTAGCATTGGTTTTTACAGTCTTTAGCTCTTTCTTGATCATGTGTCCTAATATTGCTTTCAATTGGGCTGCAGGTTCTGAGATAACAAAGCAAGTTTTTTTTCTCATCCAGTTATTTTTAATGAAATACTTCATAATCACTCAAGTGTTGTTCTCAGTGGGATATTCTTTGATCACATTTGTGAAAATTATGTGAGGTGAAGGTGAAATTTTTGAAGCTCAGTGAAAAAATTCTGTGTAGAGACACAGTTTAAAGAGATTGTTATGGTGTGTAGGCTGAAGAGTCTGTGAAGAGTTGTTAGTTTCAGAGGTACAGATTAAAATTTCTTAGCTGAAATTACAGTGTAGGTGATTGACAGATGGCATTTTCCCTGGAAGACTGAAGTAGCAAAGTGGGTTACATTGCTGATGTGAACTGATTTTGAGTGCTGATATAATGAGATTAAAGGATTGTTTAGTCTGATGATCGAGGTGGGTAATGTGTTAACTTCCTCTTTTGCTGACACTTTTGTGGCCTTCTGACTGAACTAAATACCCATCAAGGGAATTTGGAAAGAACATGTTAGTCAGTAAACATTGTAGCACAACTGGTAATTATGGGCTTTCACTGTTTCCTTTTGTGGAATATCTATGTTTTGGATTGAAAACAAGGATTTATTTTTCTGTTCAGAACAATTGATTGAGTCCATTGATTTGGCCTTTTTCACCTCTACTGTGGTCATTCTTGTCTTGCATGAAATATGTGGTTTAATGGTCAGCAGAGAAGTGTATTGCCTTTGGAAGGGACAATTTCTCCATGTTGGATATGAAGGGAATTTAGTATAATGAAGTTACAACTCAGTATCAGAGAGCTGGATGCCAGAATTAGGAAAGAGAAGCTCTGTCCTCTGTTGTTTATTTCGAGCATCTGTTTGTTTGGGTAACCTGACAGAGAATGCTTCAGATTTTTCTTTGAGATAGTAGAGACAACTTTTTATTTAAAGACAGCACTAGAAAACCAGTTTCTATCATACATGAAACACTTTCTACTTTCCAGGGAGCACATTTGATTTGTGCTGAAAACTAAATTGCAAACAATGATTCAGTCTTTGACCTCCAGTCCTGCTTTTCCACCAGATCAAGAGCTCTATATGCCTTTTACGAGGGAAGATCTATGATGCTTTGGACAATAGAACCCTGGCAACCTACAGCTACAAAGAGGCCTTGAAGCTGGATGTTTACTGTTTTGAAGCATTTGATCTTTTAACGTCACACCATATGCTGACAGCACAGGAAGGTCTGGAGAGAAGTATTTCTCAAACACAAGTCAAATTTACCTGCTTTCTCAAGATGTGTTTTCCTAGATAAAAATTAAGGCAGTACAACAAGTAACAGACTCCAAAATGTTAGGAACAGAAAGTGTATTAAATAAGTGAAAATTATGATTTGCACAAATTTGCATTTGAACTTTTATTTTCAAGTCCTGCAGTGCTAAGAGTTGAAAGAAACACAGTAATCCAGCTGTCCTGCTTGTCAGCTCCTGAAGCTCTTCTGCTCTGCCCAGCCCAAAGTTTTGTCCTGTGTTCTCAATTTCATAGGCTTTGAACCAATGAAACCCTCCTGGGCTTTGCTTAGGCATTAGTTAATAGAGCATTCCAAGTGATAACATTTGACATGTGGAGTAAATAAAAATAATGGTGTGTTATTTCATCTTTATTACATTTTATTTTAAAGTGTAGAAGGAGTAACTAATTAATCCTAAATTTCCAAAATTAGTAGTGTTATCTGTTTCAGTGTATCTGTGCTGTTATAGTCCTTGCAGTTGGGATGACCATCATAAAATTCTTTGTATCTCTAAGTTCTTGAAATGTTGGATCATGCTGTTTCTTCTGTAATATGACCATTTCAATGTTTTTTAATTCATATAGAAAAAGAACTCCTTGAATCTCTACCTCTTAATAGACAATGTACGGAAGAAGAGCAGGAATTGCTTCACTTTTTATTTGAGAATAAATTGAAAAAGGTAAGTCCCAAAAATCTGGAGAATTCATTGAAAGTCTTGACTTTGAGTGTAAATTTTCTTGGATCCCATTTATTCAGAACATAGAAATAAATATGGACTTTGTAATTTTAAAAAAAATTTATGCAGTACAACTCACTATGCAATAGTGTAACAGTTTTCTGTTAATTGTTTTCTGCTGTGGTAGCAACTTGAAATTCTGATTTATGTTTTTGAAAATTTATTTATTGACAAACTTCTGGGTGGGGTAAAGGAATGTTAATAACATAGACAAAACATCAGTTACCTGAAAATATTCGACTATAAGAACATCATTCCAGATTATTCTTATCCAAAGATAAGATGATAAGGAGCACTAAAAATATATATTGCTCAGTTTTAATTTCTACAGCCCACATGAAACATATTGACTATGGCAAGCATCTTTTGTGTTCTAAATGAGCTTTTAAGTACATTTTAAAGCAGCATTTTACCAAATACAGGTTTTATGGACTTTCAGATTAAAAATAAAAATTTCAAGAACTTTAAAGCTTCTTAAATATTCTTTTAGGACTAAAAATAATAATACTTATACCATCTGATTTTAGTTTAGTTTTTTGTTTCAAATGTTGTTTCTTTTGTCTTTCAGTATAATAAACCCAGTGAAACACTGATTCCTGAATCAGTAGATGGTCTTCAGGAAAACCTGGATGTGGTAGTATCCCTAGCAGAAAGGCATTATTACAACTGTGACTTCAAAATGTGTTATAAGCTTACTTCAGTGTAAGTGTGCAAAGCAACTTTGAGGTTTTTTTTCTCATATGGTGGAGTGTAATAATTATGCCTGGACTTACAGAAAATATTGTTGTTCAATGGGTAAACATGTATTGCAATGTACATGTCATGTGTTATATGTGTCTCAGGTATTTAAAATGTGTACTTTGTGTCTGTCAAGACATGGTATAATAATAATACATATCAGAAGTCTCCAAGGTAAAACTCAGCTTAATCAGCACTGTGCTGAACTTCCCTTTATTCATCCTCTTCCTTATTCTGGAAAAGATGAACAGCAATGCTGTTTGCTGTCTACTGGTTAAATTTGAAGTGACCTGCAAAACAGAAGAGCATTTCATTCTGATTTTCTAATTGTATATTCATCTTGAAAGAATTTTCTGTTATCTTCTTTTGTTAAGCTAAATTAACTGTTGTATTTCTGGTCTAAAGAGAGCCTTTATTATGCTGTTAATGGCTGTGCTTTAATCATAAATAGTTTTCTAATGCCTAAAGTGGCAACTAACTGGAACATTACATGCTATACAAGCAGTTTGCTTTTAACACATTAAAGTTTTTGAAATGTGCATTACAGTTTTTTTATTCTTTATTTTTTTAGAGTGATGGAAAAAGATCCCTTCCATGCAAATTGTTTACCTGTACATATAGGGACACTTGTGGAGCTTAACAAAGCAAATGGTAAGGAACACAGCATTTAATACAACTCAACAGAAGGCTGTAAAGCCCCAGTTTTAGTAAAGAATTAAAGATGCCAAGAAACCCCTTTATATACCATATGAAAAATTACATCTATTTTTCCTTCTCTTGAAACCTGCTGTTTCAAGAAAACAGTGGTAACTGGTAAAGAAGGGAGTATCAGAGCTGACAGCAGGGTTAGGGGAAGTAGATGTGCAAAGAGTTCATGGTCATGAGTGTAGCTGTGTTTTAACCACTGGACTGTGTAGCCAGGAGGCCTGTGAGCTACACTGCCTCATCCCTGTCATTGTGATTTCTGCTTCCAGGTGATCTTTGTACAGTATCTGGCTGCACTTTTTCTGCTTAAGAATAAAATATAAAAAAATCAACTAGAAAGTAATCTTCAGCAATGGTGTATGCTTAGGTGGACATGAGAAAAAATTCTAGACTCTCCTTGCTTTTGCTGTTGTGAAGGCCTCTCTTTAGTTCAAACAAATTAATAATCATGCAACACTTTGATTGGAATTACAGTAATAGCTTACTTGCAGCTGGGGTAGCTTTTTCTCATTCCAGAATGCATATAAAACAAGGGAGTAGCTTGAATATCTTTAAAATCACTTGGAAAATAGAATGAGGTGCTCGTATGCTGTGCAGTCTCTCAGGATGGTGCATTATATATACACAAATAGGTCATTAGGTGTGCTGGTACTTCTTGGGGATTAGTGAATGTTATTTTACAGTTAAGTACATCTGAAAATGGGGCCACTACTCTGATTTTTCTTCTAAATCTGCCTTGAGAAGCATTATGTACAGAAGTTAATGTTTTGTAAGCCAGTTGTAATATTATTTTTTTTCTGAGCTGAGATACAAAGTGCTCCAGGACAATCTCATTGGTTTAAGAGCACTGTACTCTGGAAAAGTAGAAACTTTATGTGCCCTGATGCTATTTCCTTTGAAATTGCATAGGCAATAGAATTGTTATCCTGTAGCTGATTACTACTGCTGCTATTAGAAAATCTGTAGTAAGTTATTTCAGTAACTAGAATTATAATTTTTACTAAAAAAGTAATCACTTGGAATTATTCCAAATAATATAATAATTTATTTACTTTTGTCCTATTTTCAGCATATTAATGCTCAAGACTCTACTTTGAAATGGATCTAGCCAGTATGTTATACCTTTTAGATGTAGGAAGTTGAATAGTGTTTTACCTTGACAAGGTACATTCAAGTGCAATACTACTGGCATTTATTGTAATGTATGGTAATGACCTAAGTTGTTGCAGAATTCTTAAAGGGTGGGAAACAGAGCTGCTTATTTGTGTCTTGTGAAGACTTATGGGTTGTTTTGGTTGGGTTTTCTTTAGCTAATTGCAAAACTGAATCTATTTTGAGGCGATTTGAAGCATTTTAACTAAAACAAAGCATTTTGTTCATTTGTGAATTAATAATGTTAGATGTTCTGTATATTTTGTATGGAAAGCTAAAAGACTTAAAACATCTAAGTGTTTTAGCATGTTTTAATTTTCTTTTCTTGTTTCTTCCCACTATGTAGAACTTTTCTATCTTTCTCACAAACTGGTGGACTTGTACCCAAATAATCCTGTAAGTTGTTCTAAGTTTTTGTTGTCAGGTAGTTTCTTTTTTTAGGTGAAAGCACATAAAAGTTATAATGTATTAGTCTGAGCTACAGAATTCAAAATCTGTTTCTGGATGAAGCTTGTAGAAATGGTTCACTCCTTTTATGTTCTCTACATTGTAATTTCTTTACTCCAAGGTTCTTTTTATAAAATTAAGTACCTGTAAAAGGTATTCAGTGCCAGTTATTTACTTTGATTAATAATTTAAAACAAATGCTACAGTAATACATGTCTCTGAGCAACCTTTTCCAGTGTTTGATCACCTTCACAGTAAAAATTGTTTTCCTTTGACTTGATCTTAATTTCCCATCCTGCAACTTGTACCCATTGCTTCCTGTCCTATTACTGCACCCCTGAAAAGAATCTGGCTCTGTCTTGTATTCCCTACCATTAAATAATTGAAGACAGCAGTAAGCTTCCCACTTAGCTCTTTGTGAGGCTGAGTAAGCCCCAGTTAGAAAGGTACCTGCCAGCAGTTCCAGCTTGTCTGTAATACCAAATAATTTGAAGAGCTGACTGATTTCAGTGGAAATGTTCCTAACTTCTCTAATGACCATGTCTTTCTCTCTTTTGATGCTTCACTGTGAGAAGTGTGATGTATCTAATAATATTCTATTTTGATTTTAATGTGTAGGTGTCATGGTTTGCAGTAGGATGCTATTATCTCATGGTTGGCCACAAAAATGAACATGCTAGAAGATATCTCAGGTAATTTTTTTTTCTGTTTTTCTTAGTGAATCTGTTGCTCACTTGCTAAGTAAACATTTATTGTTTGTGATTGTTTGAAGCTCATAAAGAGAAGCCTCAATAAACTGGTTACTATTTAAATACTTACATTGCCATCCTTTTTTTGGTATAGCAGTTTGGACCTCATCTGTAGAAATACTTTAAAAATGAGGAAGACTAATGTGGTGTCTCTCTAGGCAGTGACCTTCCTGTTCTGGGCAGGTGTAGTCCCTGCAGTTGCTTATGCTGCTGAGCTAATTACAGCTGTGGGTGATCAGGCCTCAGTTCTCAGTTGAGGGACACTCAGGTATTCTCCCAGGTTCAGGTTTCATATCTGAAAGGAAAGAATTATATGGAAAATCCCAATGTTTGGCTGTCCAGTTCCTTCTGTGCACAAGTGGGCTTTTTAGCTTTGGTCAGTGCTGTTTCCTGTAGGTGTTCTGTATGTGCAATGAATATCAGCACTGGGGAGCAGGACCTTGCTGTGAAGCAGGGCATTTGTTCTGGTGCTGTAAGCTCAAACTGAGAGGGCATAAATCAACCTGTAAGACTAATTTTTCCTGAGACCTTTACAGACAATATATGTAAAGATGGATTAGTCATTTATACTTTTTAAATGCCTGGTTATTATGAGTAAAATATTTAAATTCCTTACAAATAGCACTGTGAAATTCTTTAAATAGCTATCCTGAGTGATATATTTGGTTTTGGTGCTGAAATAAAAAACATCTTTAAATGTACAAGCATCTCTAGACAGCAAGAAAGTATCTGTGGATGTATGCTCTGATCAAAATTCAAAGCAGTTCTGACAAAAGGGAAAAGAGGTCTGCTGAAAGTGAAATAGTAACAAGATGCTTAAATATCTTGGAGAAGAATGGCAGTGTAAAGCTTACAAGGCTAGGGACAACTGTGGGCTACACAGCGGTTTCCAGAAAAGAAACTTGAAGACACAGTCAAATATCTACATATCTTTCATTGCTGTTATGGGTGGAAGATAAAAAGGTTTGAAAGTTTATATGTAAAGTGTTTAGATAGTGTCTAAATTTTATATCTAAATTATTCTAATGTTTGAAACTTTATATCTAAGGTTTTGTCTCAGAAGACAGAGAACAAACCATTCTCTAGGATCTTTGTGAGAAATAATGAGTTTAACTGTGACAGACAAAATTTAGATTATATGTTAGGAAAAAAGTAAACTGTTAAGGATAGTTAAGCAATATGATAGAATACCTAAGGAACATGTATTACTTCCATGTCAGAAGCTTTTAAGAAAAGACTGGGCACAGTTGTTATGAGCTGTTTAGTTATGAACACCCTTGCCTTCAAATTCAGAAAGTAATCTACAGAGCTTTCTAATGTTCTTGTCAATACTCCCTTTCTGTGAAGTCTCTGGGTTGCTGTCTTGATGCTCAGGTTGCAGTTTTCAGCTCAAGACTTGAGTGACATTTTGTATACTTCCCTGATGCATGGCCTGTGCTGTGACAAATGCTCATCTCCTTCTAAGCTAGCACAATTAGATGGCAAAATTTCAGCTTAGATATTCATTTGGTATAGTCATATCCTGCTTCTTAAACTTGGATTTGATAGAATATATTTATTTCAAAATGTATAGCTAGGATTTTGCAATGAGTTTTGAGTCACTGCTAATGTTTCCTGTATTTTATTTAATCCACGTACTATATCATTGTTTATGTTCAGTAATATCAAATAATTACTCCTGTCTGTGAACAGTAGCAGAAATAATGAAATCAATTCACAAGAATGTGTGATACTTCTAAGTGAGAAATAGTTTGAACTTTTAAAATGAGCTTTGTTTATCACTGGTTATTACTGACAATTATCTTAATAGATAACCTAACCATATAGCATAGCATTGCTGTCTGAGTAGACATCTGAAGCAGATGGAATTTACTTTCAGATGTGTTTGCTTGTGACTTGCTCTTGTTTTTAGCAAAGCCACGACGCTGGAGCGAACCTATGGCCCTGCATGGATAGCGTATGGACATTCCTTCGCAGTGGAGAGTGAGCATGACCAGGCAATGGCTGCGTACTTCACAGCTGCACAGCTCATGAAAGGGTCTGTACCTGTACAAACAGCATATTTGGGAAGATTCAAATGGATCCATAAGTAGTGTAGAATATTGACTTACATCTATTGGTTTCTCTGGCTCTGGATTGAAGGCACTTGAGATGGTAGTTCACGTTCAGACTCAGGTGTTTATAATTTCTTATTAGTAAAACAGTTTCACAACTATGAGTTTAGTAGCTTTTCATTAGCAAGGCACAAAATGGCTAACTATATCTTGTTATAAGGTCTTTTAAGACTAAGCTATCTAATTAAGAAAGGACACTTAGATTATTTTTCCTTTTAACCCAATAACTGATCTTTGGAAGCCCGCAATGCGGACTTCTCTGTCCAATTACAAAACATCACCCAAACCCATGAAGAAGAAGGAAAAAGAAGGTAAAAAAAAACAACCTGCCTCTACCCTAAAACCTCCATCTGGCTTCATATTTATTTCTATATTCTAAAACCCCAAACTCCAAGTCTTCCACCCTGTGATATTACACACTTCTAACTAACTACACACCCGTAATCCCAGTGCTATCAATCAATTTTGGAAGCCGTCTCCACAGCCTCAGGTCAAATACAGTGTTCTCTTGTGGGTCTGTGCCTTTAAGCACAGAAAATTCTCAGCATCCAGGATTCCAACATACATCCCTTTAAACAGTAGCAATGCATTTGCAACAATTATGTGGTAAAGAACAAGGGAGGGAAAACATCCCCAATAATTTAACCATCTACTTTCAAGTGCATTATTGTGATTATTTTTCTGATTTTGTAAGTTCTAAAGTCAAGTTTTATATATAGGTAATCTAAGTTCTGCCTGAACATCTTCTGAAATTTGTGAATCATGGTTGTCATACCAGCTCATCAATTGCTGCACAGTAATAGTTTGAACAGCTCTTTCATGCTGTGGGAGGGGGTTGTAAAATGAGTCATGAACTAATTGTGTCATATCGCATATAAAAGTATCACATTTGACTGTAGTTACTGGGAAATGTAATTCTTTTATCAATTACTTCTTCCATATTCCATTTGTAAATTAAATGTATGAATGAAATTAAGGGAAAAACCATCAGAACTAGACTTAAGTGCTGAGAAAATACATGTGATTGCAGGGCAGGTTACAATGATCTATTGGAATTCAGTCTCTTGTTAAACAGAGATGTAAAATCTTTTAACCTTCCCCTTAGGTTAGTAGTCCATTTAAATCAGCTTTTACTTGTATGTACCTAAACATATGCAAACAGTTGGCATGTCTTTATAGTTTGTGACTCTGTTCTTGAGAACCACCCAGAAACAAACCTGCACTTTGTTTTATGGTTTTTAGGTGTCATTTGCCTATGCTGTATATTGGACTGGAATATGGTTTGACCAACAACTCCAAGTTGGCTGAACGGTTTTTCAGCCAAGCTTTAAGCATTGCACCTGAAGATCCTTTTGTTATGCATGAAGTTGGAGTGGTGGCATTTCAAAATGGAGAGTAAGCTTGCAAAATGTGATCAAATACTATCTTAAACATGGATTATTCTTAATTGTAATGTGCCAATATATCTAAAGTATCTAAAGTACTTATATTGAACTGTAGTGTCTTTTGGTCATAGTTTAGATGGTGTTGACCTTAAACCCTTGCTTTCTACAATGTTCTTCCTTGTGTAAGATTGAACAAGAACAGAATTTAATGCTCAAGGAACATCCAGAGGTTCATGCTATCTTCCATGTGCCTGTCATTGTGGAGTTGCATGCCTGAAAAGGCATCTATCTGCACACATATTATAAAATTTTGTACAGCAATACATTTTGTCAGCTCAGGAGGTTCCAAATTTATTCTGGGGGAAAAAAACCTAACCTATATAAGAATTGTTTAGCCAATATTTTTAGTTTGATTCTGATTTTTTTTGTTTTGTTTTGTCTTGTTAGCTCTTAGGACCACAATGCACAATATAGCCAAATGTAAATTACTGGGGTTTATATCTAATTTCACTCATATGATGAAATAATGTCATAGAAATCTTTTTGAATACAGTTTTCTCATACTGCTGATGCAAACTCTTCACTAATTTACTTTTCTTTCTCCCCACCCCTTCAATCCTTAGCTGGAAAACTGCAGAAAAGTGGTTCCTTGATGCACTGGAAAAAATCAAAGCTATTGGAAATGAGGTATTTATTCTAGTAATGTGCAAGATCATAAATTTATAAAACTCCTGCAAATTCTGTAATAGCTTGTGACAAAACATGTTGTGCTTATTTTAAGATAGAAGTAATGCAGTATAAATTTTATTTTGAAACTGTGCCTTCAGTGCTCCTAGGCTGAGACTTGACTTGACTTTTTCTAGTTAAGTAGAAAGCAAGTTTTGTTTGGTTTGCATCACGTTTTAATAACACTGACCCTTTAAAGAAATATTATTAGCTTTGGGGAATGTAAAAAATATAAAAATTAGTTGTTGAATAAATGTTTTCAGCCTGTGTGTTTTGTTAAGAGTTTAAAATGCTTGTGGTATTTTTCTTGTTCATAAACAAAATTCCGTATTTATTTGTATGTTTTGTTTTTTTAAAGTAGACAAAATTTAGTTACAGTCTAGGAAGATGCAGTTATTTGAATTGTTGCATTATTTTGCAGGTAACAGTTGATAAGTGGGAGCCTTTATTGAACAACTTGGGACATGTCTGCAGAAAACTCAAGTAAGCAGAGTACTGGGGCTCCATTTCTCTGTAATGCTGCACAAATGTGTTTTCTCCCTCCTTTATACCAAGATGGTGTACCACATGAGAGCAGTGTAGAATTACCCTGTAAGAACAAGATTCTCTAAATCAGCTTGTGTACAAAACTGCATTAACCAACCCTTATATCCTGTTTAATACACAAAAGTTAAAGTACTTTATGTAAAAGCCTTTCTTTAGCTATTGATTCTTATTAGGGAATTAGTTGGAGGCTTTTAGATGCTTGTATAGGTGTGAATTTTAATTCTCCACTGTCCTGGTCCTCACATACTGAAATATGTCCACTGATTATTATATAAATACATAATTAACATAAAGGTAGGTTTATGACAATTAATTGCTTGGATTAGCAGTTACTATTTTTTACTGAAGTGAAATATTCAGTGGCATGAATTATAACACAGCAAGGGAGTCTTACTTTGTTTTTTAGAACAATACTATTTAATATTTCATTTCATGTTTCCATTCAATGAATAGAAAAAGTGCAAAGCACATATATACAACAGTTTTAACAGAGACATTTTTCTCATTAATTACCTTAATCTGACTTGAACCAGTCCTTTCTTTTGTTCAATCAATGCAATTTTTAAAAAATACTTTTAGTGGTTTTAATTGCTCAATTGGTGTACACTGTAATTTTTGTTTCAAAGCTGCTAATGAGAATGTGATTATGGTAGATGAAAGCTGTACTTCTGCTTTGGGTTTGGTAATAATTGCTTTGTGCTTTAATTGGCAATTAGTCTTCATTTTCATTATGAAATAAGGATGTATAACAGTTACTCCTTGTGCCAAAATCAAACAAAAGGCACTGCTTCTGAAATCTGTTCATGAGTATAATTGCAGGATTTTTTCAAATACTTGTTTTGTTTATAATTATTTTTGTCTTTTTAAAATTTCTACAGTAGTTTAACTGCTTACATCATGCTTTGTACAACTTTTAATATTTGCTCAGGTTTAGAAATCAAAGCTAAAATATTTTTGCATCCATGTAAACTATCTTCCAAGAAAATGAAGTTGAGAATTTAGGCAGCTGTACATATGCTTTCACATCTTAAAAAACTGTAGAAACTAATTTAGTAGTGTCTGTAATACATAATATGGCTATTATGAAAAACTTATTGGCTGTATGTCTACTCACTAATATTATGTCATTGAAATTTCAAAGCAGCATATTCAAATACAGTGGTAGTAGTCAATTGGATGTGTAAATACTATGAGTGGAAGTGAAATTGAAATCATGTGAAAGGTCTTTGCAGCAAGCAAACATTTGCATAATTTTTCTGCCTCAGTTGTTACTTGATGCCCTCTAACAACTTTGTGTGTTCCTCATTGCATAATTTCATTATCACTTTAGATATTAAAATTTCTTATAAACAGGTGATATCAATCTTTAACAATGTAGAATTAGGATGTCAAATGTGACAGTTTAATTTCTCAGAGTAATGCTGTGGTGTACATTTAATCCTTGTTTTATAAAATAACAAATGCAATAATCAGTGTAGTTAATAGACAGTTTTCAAAGACAGGTTGGTAGTTTGATAGATATCATAGATATGTGTAAGCCTATTTTTCTGATAGAGTGTGTTGCAAAATGATGAAGGTACCAGTGTGTGCAGCACTCAAGGGCTGTGAGATTTCTGCCCAGAGAGCTTTTCTCAGTTTGAATCGTGTGATTTAATCTCATACTGCTCCTTCTCTCCCTCAGGAAGGCAGATGAAAGCGACAGAAAGAAAGCCAGTCCTACAATGAGCAGCACTAAACATCTAAAGCAATTTACCATATCAAACAGCTAAGATCTCCAAATGGGACCTAGCTGTAGGCAGCTGTTTTCCTACATAAGGAGAACAATGATTTTTCAGTTACACTGAGGAAGAAAATTGTCGATATCCATGAGCCTTTTGTGCATTCTATTACTATGTTCAGAGTGCAAAGCAATAATTTTCAAGTTCTGGCACAATTGTGTTCCGCTTTGCTAAGAAAATACCCACAGGGCACTGTAAAAGCTTACTAACAGATGTCCTGTACTTACCCCTAACAGGAAGTATGAAGAAGCACTGGAATATCATCGCCAGGCTCTGGTGTTGATCCCTCAGAATGCTTCTACTTACTCTGCCATTGGCTACATACACAGCCTCATGGGCAATTTTGAAAGTGCCATTGACTATTTCCACACGGTACGTAACTGCCTGCAGCTGAAGGGCTGGTCACAGATTCTGTTATTTACTCTTTCACTCTGGTTTGGGTTTGGAACAAAGAACCAGCATTTTTTTCCAGCCTCCAAATGAGTGTTTATTTCATAGTCTTAATTTTTTTTTTTCTTAAATCTTCTATATTTTATTGGTTGGGTAAAAAATGGCCTCTTCGGCAAACTTTGAATTGCAATTTATGTATTATGTATGTAAGCTTCTCATGTACCTGAAATAATTTTAAATACTTCCAACTTAGAAATTTTACAGTAAGTAAACAGCAGCATATGTTGTAGCTCATATGTGAATGATTTCCTGTCTGTATCTATGTTCTGTTTTGGTTTTGTCCTTTCCTTGCTTACTACTTCAGCCAGTTCATATGATAGTGTTATTTTGGTTGTGCAATGTTTTGCTTTTACAGTGAAGACTATGCTCAGCTAGCATTGTGGAACAACAAACCAACAAACTGAACCACTGCAGACTTATGATGTAAATGTTTTTATTTGATGCTAAATACTTTTTACTGTTTTTTTTTTCAATAGGCCCTTGGTCTCAGGCGGGATGACACATTTTCAGTGACAATGCTCGGCCACTGCATAGAAATGTACATTGGTGATTCTGAAGCCTATATTGGTAAGTCTCTAACTTATGTGTCTCTTGAAGTCATTGAGTCCTTTGAGAGGACTGTAATGTCAAGGACTGCCTACTACTACCTAATTAACTCACAAAGTAGAGGATGTCTTTCTTGGGGTTTTTTGGGTTGGTTTTTTTAATGGCTAAGTGAGCCAGAACTTAGCAGATGACCACTGGTTTTTTGAGCAGCATGGCAGTACTCTCACCAGCATAAAGAGAGGAAGTACTTGATCATTAAAGGTGTCAATGTTTTCTTTTATAGAAAATATTGATTTGTGGCATCTTAGATTGCATAGGGAATGGGGGAAAAATTCAACAGAAGTATGGAGTTAGGAAATCAGAGCACTAATTCTAATGTTGTTGCAGAGCAAGGTATTTTCACCTTGTCAAAACTTGTCTCTGTGGAGACAGGATAGGTTCTTCTGACTACAAAAATACAGCTTTAGATATGGTTTAAAAAAAGTGCTTCATAACAGTAATACATTATATTGCCATGGGTTTAAATTTTCGATTAAGGATTTTCCCTGCAAAAACAGCTTCTATATTTTTTAATAGATTTCTGCTTCATTGAACTTAGTGATTTATCTGTAGTGAACACAGTTGATGTCTTGTCAAGCATGTTAAGAAGGCTGAAGCCTTAAAAGTAAAAGCCATCTGTGTGCTCTAGTGCCTTTCCTGCAGATTTTTCACACAATTGAAACAGATGTTTCTTCTCAATATTGTCTTGCTCCACATGTAGTCATTTAACACATCTGGAAGAACCACGCAGCCATGTGATATGCATTAATGCAAACCAAGCTGTGTGTAACTTAAACAAGAAAAAAGCCCCCTGGAGAACTGGGAAGGGAATTGGCAATTACTTCTCAAAACACACTTTTGAAACTGAGTTGTGTTTCTTGTATTGTGCTTTTTTGAGAAAGGAGGCTGCTGGATTTTTTCAGAACAACTCATTCAGCTTCAGTCATTAAGCAGCAGCACTCCTTGATGGTCTGAAAGCAGAGAATTATAGTAGTTTCTGAATGATAGTTTCTTTGAGATTACATTTTTTGTGAGTATTCATTTGAAATAAACTACTGGTTTGTCTGTTTTCCTAGGAACAGAGATCAAAGACAAATTAAGATGTTATGACTTTGATGTACACACAGTGAAGACATTAAAGAACATAATTTCACCTCCCTGGGATTTCAGAGAAATCGACATAGAAAGACAAACTGTGGATGAAAGTGGCATAGTAACATTAGAGACATCAAATCAAAGGAAAAGTACAGATACCAGTCGCCCATTGGAAGAAACATTTGAGATTGAAATGAATGAAAGTGATATGATGTTAGAAACATCAATGTCAGACCATAGTACGTGACCATAAATACTGGTAGAGAGCTCATTTTGTCTAAGTGTACTATGTTTGTTTTAGCATTTTTGTTATGGTGTTGTACTTTGATGAATTTGCTATTTTTTATATGAATTCAAACTACTATGTACTTAACACCGGGAGTTTTATAGTTCCTACTTTATAAATATTCCTTTCCTGATTCCTTATGAATCCCCATCTGAATCAAGAAGACCTCATTGCATTGATGTAGGCCATATACATAGTCTGAATCCACAGTGTTGGCTATTTTGCACATGCCTGTGCATTACTGAAGAGGAATTCAAGTTTTAGACACAACTGCACTTTGGAATTCAAGGGTATCAAGGGAGGAAGAGCTTGGGGGGAGTCTGTATTTTATCAGCAATTGCACACACTCTCACTGTGGAAATCTGTTGGGTCCAGGTGATCCCATTGCTTTCCTATGAGGGCCAGCACAGTGGTGCAGAGAAGTCTGGTTCTGTCCCAGTGGCAATGGGAATTGTGCTGTGGCTCCACAAAGGGAATGGGTGATACCCAAATTTCCCTTCCATATGTTAGAAAATATAGACTGGACTTTGCATTGAGTGCAGAATTCAATACCAGTCCCATATATTCTTAAACACAAGAAAATAAGGTGAACAAAAATGTTTTACTTCCTAGTTCTAAAACAGTCACTGAAAGTTACACATTCTCCTGAAAAACATAGTATGAGCCATGAGTCTTAAGTGAAAAAGTATCCAAGCAGAGTGTAGAAAAAATTAATAATTTAGGAGGCATATGTATCTCCTGGGCAGAGTCAGGTCTCTCTTCAGTGTGACTGGCAAAAGGAGTTCATACAAAGGACTTTATTTTCACTTGGAACCTGGTAATTGGGGTGTGGTTCAGGTGACTTCTTTGATGTAAATTTGGGATTTTTCCTGAACATTCTGGAAGGATCTCTAATGAGTGTGTCTAAGCAGCTGCTCTATTAGGCAGGTGTCTTCCTTTAAAGGATCTTTTGGATGTTATTTTTACATCTGTGCTCATGTATCCTGAATAACTGCAAACAAGACTATCTCATGGATAATATGACAGCAAAGGCTTGTTGCTGCACACAGAAGGATATTGCAAATAGATTCTCAAATATTCTCAAGGAACACAACTCCTTTTTCTCTATATCATTATTTTTAATCCAGCATATGTCAGTCTAGTTTTCTAGTAAGACATCATGGCAATTTCTAAATGGAAGGTGGCAAAATAATATTCTAGAGAATCAGGCCTTTTGACTACTGTCAGACATGGATATAAATCTTGCAGAGTTTTGTTCCAATTTTCTCATTGGCAAAATGGTTTTAAATATTGATAGAAGTTCATCTTTCTTCCTGCACTCCCCAGTTACAATCTGATGCTGTGTTGGCTGTGATAGCAACATTGGTTTATGTTATTCCTGCCTGTAGGAATCTACTGTGCCACTTCCTCAGCTGTGGTAATACAAATCCTTGTGTGGTTACATTGTGAATGAAATCAGGGAACTGGAACAGCATTTAAAAATATTTTCTAGATCTGATCAATTCTCAGGTTCAAGGAGAGCAAGCCACTGCTCTGTTACTGGTTGTCAGTGGGGCAGAGTGGTTGGAGTGGGAGGATGGAATAGTGAGAATGGGCATTGCTGTAACAGCAGCCTGTCGTGACACTGTGCTTGGCAGGTATCTGTTGGAGGTTTTTGGGCTGGCTATTGCTAACCTTTGTTTATTGGTATTAAAATTGCCCAGAAAGAAATGTATGCAAAGTGTCCTGGATTGTGAAGGACTCTTTTGGATGTCGGAGGAATTCTTGATACAGCTTCACTTGGCTCCAAGCCTCTTAGGCGGCTACAGTTGGGTTAGAGCTTGTGAGCTGGTTCATGATGTGTCTCAGACAGGACTTTAGGGGAAGTTCTTCTCTCCTCATTTATCTTCTGTTCAATGGTTTAACCTACTCTTGTTCTGTCCAAATCCCTGCCTTTGTACTGGCTGGCAGCATCTGTTTGCCCTGATCTTCTGCACCTCCCATCACCTGTCCTGCTCTTACTAGAGAGAGCTTGGTGCCTTTCTGGGTTATTATGACATTCACCCTGGCTCTAAAGTGAGTATTGTCCTCATGAGGACTTTGGTTATTAGTTTTGGCCTGACTTGACCTCAGATTCTTGATTCATGCTGCAAGCCATTGCCATTGCCTGACTTGGCTTTGGCTGCTGAGTACACGGGTCCAGGACTGTCAGGTTGGGTGGCTGATAAACATACCCCAAAAAGGGACATTTTTACTCTGTCTCATACCTTCATCTTTCTCTTCCAAGGATTAGTTTTGTCCCAGAGGGGGGAGATCTGAATGTTGCCTTAAAGGTTTTCAGAACAGTTATGAAAACCCACAAGATATTTGTGCTGCAAATGGCTCCAAAAGTTTCTTCATAGATAGTGCTGCCTAAAAGATTTGAAAACAAATAACATGTTAGTTCAGTTGATCAGGCTGCAGGTGCTAATAATGCCAGTCTTGCAAGTTTAAGCCCCAAGTGGCCCATTAACTTAAAAGTTGACTCAATGGTCCTTGTGGGTGCCTTCCAACTCAGAATATTCTGTGATTTCAGTTTTTGCAGCCAATGCCACCTACTTTTATTATTCCACATAAGATCATGTATTTCCTTCATGCTTTGGACAGCTGTTTGAGGAACTATCAATGCAGCAGGATATGAAGATTTGCAATGACCCTGTGTATTTGATTAAATTGCAGGCATTTTTGCTCCTTCTGTCTAATTTCCATAGCTCTAGATAAGTCTATCTTTAAATGTGTGACATGTCCTTACTTTGGAGCTTGCTGTACCTCTGCCACCAATTCTAGGAGATTTAGTCCAAGATATTCCAACTCACACAGGAATTTCAAGAAACTTTTGGATCTAGATATTGCAAAATTCATTGATTGCAATCTAGGACTAAAAACCCTTGCTCTAATTGATGGGTCAGTACTTAGAATAATCATGAAATCATAGAATGGTGTGGGTTGGAAAGGACCTTAAAGATCCTGTAGTGCCATGGGCAGGGACACCTCTGTGCCAGGTTGGTTATGGCCCTGTCCAGCACAGCTTTGACCACTGCCAGGGATGGGAATCCACAGTCTCCCTGGGCAACCTGTTCCAGTGCCTCAGCAGCCTCGCAGTAAGTTTCTCGCTAACATCGAGGTTAAATTTCCCCTCTCTCCGTTTGTACCCACTCTCCCTTGTCCTGTCACCGCAGCTCCTGAGGAAGCCAGGCACAAAGGCCGGAGGCACCTTTGGAAGGGCTCTCCCTGCTGCGTGGCCTCAGGGGCTCAGGCTGGCGTGCATTGCCGAAGTGTAGGCACTGCTTCATTATCACAGAGCCTCCCTGAGGGCATAAGGCTCCTGGCCTCACACAAGTAATGGTTAATGGCCTCTTTTTTTCTCCTTTTTCCCACTGCTTTCTCCCCAGAATTTGGCTACCCCTTAGACCCTGCATCCAAAGACTGAATAACGCACCCCGGGGTGTCTGTGCCCGTCCCGCCCTCGAGGCGCCCGGAGGCCGGCGTGACAAGGCACCGTGAGCGGAGGGAAATGGGCACGTCTCTGCGTGTTCCCCTCGCACCGGCAGCGTGGGGACCCTGCGCAATTCCAGCGGGGACGGGGACGGAGCCGCCGCGACCCCCCATGGCTGGCGGGGGGAGCCTCGCGAGATCCCGCCAGCCCTGCGGCCGTTCTCGCGAGCTTTCCGCCCGGCTGCGGGCGCGGCGGCTCCATGCGCTCGGAGCGGGAGGCAGGGCAGGGGCTGGGGCTGGGCTCGGGCCGGGGCGGCGGCCGCGACTCGCGACCCATGGACGCCCCGCTGCTGCAGGAGTCGCCGCGCCGCGACATGGACGCTCCGCCGAACCCGCCGCCGACGTCCCCGCAGTCCCCACTGCCGCCGCCGCCGCCGCTTCACCCGGCGCCGGGGAAACAGCGGGAGGAGAAGAAAACGGCGCTGAGCAAAGTGAGGGGGCGCGAGCGCGGCGCGGGGCGGGGGCGGCTCCGGTGGGAGGGAGGGCGGCTGCCGTGAGGGGACGGACCGAGCCCGATCTCGGGAGCTCCGTGTGTTTGTAACGGGAATTTCTTCATCTGCAGAACGAGGGTGTTCTTTCCCTGGAGTATTGGGAGACCCCCAGCGTTAGCGCTGGAAATCATTTCACCTTTAGTTGTGAAGTCAAGGCTGGCTATTGCTGTGCCAGAACAGCTTCCGTCAAGGACAAGAGCACATCTCTCTTCTCCGTCTTTGTTCGAGCATTTTTTATGCAATACTTGAAGACTATAACAGGCTGTGCAGGGATGTCACAGAGCCTCTCTGGCTGGAGACGTTCAGAACCCAGCTGGACACGTTGCTGTGACACCTGCTCTAGGTTACCCTGCCTTGGCAGGGGGCTTGGACCAGAGATCCCTTCCAACCCTGACAATTCTGTGACTCCTTGAGTACTGTGAGGTTTGGTTTATTCCTGGGGTTTTTTAATTGGAAAACTGAAGAACTGAAAATAAGTATAACTCAGAGCTCAGTAAAGTTAAATTCATACATTAAAGTACTCAGAAATTAAAACAGGTTGCCTGAAGTTTGATGGCCATTTTACTGCTTTGTGTGCTGGCATCATTCAGCCTGAGGTTTCTGCAGTTTCCTGGCCTTTATTATTGGGCAGTTTAGTTTGGTGTAATGGGTTGACTCTGGGTAGCTGACCTCCAGCCACACAGAGTGCAAGAGTCGCCCTCTTGCACTCCTCCCTCAGCAAGACCCAGGAATAAGGTATGATGGAAAAAACAAAGTGTCATCCAGGAAAAACTGACACAGCTGAGGGAAGACCTGATAGCAGCTTCTTACAGCTTTTTCACAAAGGTAAATGGAGGGGAAGGCACTGATACTTTCTCTCTGGTGGCCAGTGACAGGCTGTGAAGGAATGGCACAAAGCTGTGTCTGGGGAGGTTTAGATTGCATGTAGAAAAAGGTTCTTCACCCAAAGGGTGGTTGGGCACTGGAACAGGCTCCCCAAGA